TAAACAAAGGGCTCTTTACCGACAAGGAGAGGTGAAAAGTGCAAGGCCGGTTGCAAACTCTTGCTTGTGTAAGTACATGTTCGCGCACACGCACACTCCCCGGCTGAGACCTGAGACCACCCGCCTGGCTGCTAACGGCTGGCCCCGCTGGCGGTAGAAACTCGGTGGGTGCCATGCGCTCACCCAGGCTGCTCAGGGCGTCGGCCCTGTGACGGCCGTGTGTTTCTGCTCATTAAATCCACATTATTTTCCACTTAGGAAAACGACAAATCAGCCCCACCCTGGGACTCAGGGAGCATCTTGTTTATTCCAGAGAATCCGACCCACGTGCAGGAAGGAGGGGCTTCGGGCGCTGAGGCAGACTCCAGGCCCGAGTGGGACCATGTGGGACGCACAGCAGCCCAGGGCTGATGCCCAGCTGGAGAGGACACGGCCTCTGGAAGCAGGGACGTTCGTCCTGTCCCTGGCACGGCACTCGGCGGTGGCACCTGCTGCTGCAGGGAGCTGGCCGTGGCCCCGAGACCGGCGCTGCAGCTAAGTGCTGGCACCTGGCGTCAGGAGCGCAGCAGGATGGCCACGGGAACTGATGGCCGGGCTCCCGCCACCCCCTCGTCCGAGAGATTCCTTCTAGCAGGCCCTGCAGCCCGAGGGGGAACCAACAAGGGGCAGGGCCTGGGCCTGGGCACGCTGCTTTCGTCACATTTCTCACTGTGACAACCGTGGGACCCAGGGGTGTCTGACTTCCCCTCCGGCGGCTCCAGGACCGTGGCAGGGAGGACGGCACCCTCTGCCCGCCTCACTCCACCGGGAGCGGCAGCTCCCCGCCGGCTGGGCCCTGTGCTCGTTCACTCGTCCGTTCACCCGTCCCGCAGGCTGCCGAGTGCCCACTGCCTGCCAGGTGCTGCGGTGTCTCCAGGGGCGCCAGCCGGCCCCTCTTCAAACGCACCGCTGGGGTTTCAGTCCTTCCGACTGAGGCACAGCGTCGCCGAGAACACCCCCCGGAAATGTCAGGGGCATGGAATGTGCATTTCCAGGCCCTCGCTGCCTCTGCGGGGGGACAGAACCCAGGCTGGTGACGGAAGGAGGGGAAGGACCAGGCTGTGCGAGGGTGGCGGTGGCTTCGTCCCACCGCCAACGTCCTCCAGTGGCAGAAGCTGATCAGAGCGCTGTTGGGGGTCTCCCCTAGCAGGGTGGACCCTCCAGCAGGGGCGCCTTCAGAGGGGACAGGAAGCAGGAGACTGCGGAACGGGACGGAAAGGTGGCAGGCACCAGACCCCGGCCCGCCTCCCCAGCTGCCTGACTGGCCCCCCCACAGGGGCCTCCTCAGCCCCGGCTCATAACTGTAGCTTCACGGGGGAGGGACGTCCTGGTGCCTGAAGATCCAGAGCCCCACGGCCACCTCCAGCCCACCCCGATCCCGCCATCTCTCACCGGCTTCCACCTGACTGTTCGCAGGGAGAAATGGCCCACATGTTTCCAAGCACGTCCCAGGCTTCAGCCCCAGAGAGCAGCCCCAGAGACCCCCGGGGTAGAGGGGCAGGGCGAGCCCCACGGCACCCACCCACGAAGCCACCAGGGCTAATGGCTTTTCCAGGTAAGGTCCTTTTCTCTCCCTGGTCCCCCTGGCAGAGGGTGGCCTGGAACCAGGAGGCCTCCCTGGGGCCAGGGTGCAACCCGAGCAAAGAGCCCGGGACCCTCCACCAAGTGTGGCTTTCCCCAGTGGCCGTGGCCATGGCCGGCAGCAAGGCCGGACCCAGCCCAGGGCACCGGGCACTTCACTTCACGAGCTCCCCGGCCCCCACGCCCACCCTGCCTGTCCGCCTGGTTCCTGCGCTCCCCGCCCGCCTGCAGCCTCCTGCTCCGCTTGTTTCCAGGAAAACTGCTGCAGGAGCCAGGCTGACGGGCAGGCGCTGGGCCCCACCTGGCTCCCATCCATCCACACGGCCATCCCGGACCGAGCGGGACGCCCCAGTTGGACTGGGCCAGCCCTGTCCACAGTGGAGAAGGGCTTGATTCCAGGGGCCCCCGGGACAGGCCAGGAACAGCCCAGGTGGGCAGTGGGGGCCTCCAGCGCCCCTGCCCACGTTTACCTGGCTCTGAGCCCAGCTCTGGAAAGCAAGTGTGGGCAAGGACGGGGGCTGCAGGTGAGGCCAAGAGCCACGCCTGTCTCCTATTCCACAGGCCTCTCTCAGCTGTACCGGTGACAAGGACCCAGAGCTACTGATGTCCCAAAAAGGCTCACGAGACCGTACAGCTACTTGCACCACTGGTCATGTCCCCGAGGGTCGGGAAGGTGGGGTCTGAGGCCTCGGGCTGCAGCACAGAAGTCTGGCCTCAGGCTCTGGAGAGAGGGAACGGCCCATCTGTCGGGCTGGGGCACGTCTGTGGGTCCAAAATACAACCTGGCCCTGGCAGCCCAAGCACCCCAGGACACACCCCGGCGGGTTCCTGAGAGCCCCGACCTCCAGGCCTCACCGTACCGGCCCTGGGGACCACCCTGGGGCGGGGGGAAGGAAGCGCCCCATTTAGGCTCTGACCGGTCTGGTCTACATGGTCCTCTACGTGGCTGAGAATCCCTCGCACTGTGGGAGGGGCCCGGGAGGCACCTTGTCTCATTGGACTTTTCAGGGAGGCAGATCTGAACAGGGAAAAAATAAATAAGTAACCCCCGGCCCACAGGGTGGTGGCGCCACCACCGTGAATCTCAGCCGGGGGCCGTCACCCTCGGTGACACACCCCGGGGGGCCTCCGGGCAGACACAAGGCTGCTCTGCCTGATGGCCCAGCAGGCAGAGCCGGGACCGGAACCTCTCGGCCTTTCTTTCCTTTGCAAGTTGTCACCGCCAGCCCTCCCCAAAGGCCCGAAGCCACAGCCACCCCAGCCCCAGGGACAGGGACCCCCACAATCCGCCGGCCCTCAACGACGAGAGCGGGAGGACAAGTTCCTTTCCCCGAGAGGATGCCCGGCGGCACCACCAGATCCACGAGGTTCTTTTCATCTTTGTTTTGATGGGTGAAGTTCAATGCCAGAATATTTGGTTTGTGAGTCATGCTCATTACAGCCGGGGCGGTTGAGGGAGGGCGAGCAGCACCGGGAAGAACAACAGAAAGAAGCATATTCCAAAGAAATCGTGCTGCGCTGACTCCGCGAACAGGGCCCTGTGTCGTGGGCAGGAGGCGCCTGCGCCCTCCCCGGGGCCACGTCAGCGCTCTCACCCCCACCCGTGAGGTGCCCCTCTGGGCTCGGCTGCACCTGCCCCGCACGGGCAGCAGTGTCCTCCAGCTGGCGGAGCCCACCCACGACCTGCTGGTTACCGGGATCCCTTTGCGTGGCTTCGCAAGAGCCTGGAGATGGAAAGAGGAGAGAGCAAGCAGCAGGGGAGCACAGGGGTCCCTGGGGAGCAGAACCTGGCTGTCCTCCCTGTGCGGGCACTTTCTCTGGAGGCCTCGGGGGAGGCGGAAATTGGGACGCGAGAAGCTTGGGCCCCAGCCTCAGCGTGGCCAGCTGTGCGTCCTTGAGCGGGTCCCAGCCCTTCCCTGGGCACAAAGATGCAAGTCTGTGTCCCCGGTCCCCTCTGGGCCACACGTGAGCCTCTCTGAGCTCCTTGGGGCTGAAATCACCATTGCTGGAACCATTCAGAATTGCCATTCGCTCTGGGCCTGCTTGTGGGTAAGACCCAGACCCAGACACACACACACACACTCACGCCCACACTGCCATTATTTTTGTCCCCACAGCTATTGCCGGGTCATCCACTCAGCTCTCAGGGCGGGAGGGAGAGTGGGGATGAGGGCAGAGAGGCGTCAGCACCCTCCACCATCTCTCCTGCACCCCCATTTTCTCCCTTCTCTCCCGTGGGCAGGGCCACTGAGCAGGCCTTGGAAGGAGGCCCTCCCTGGCCACGGCAGGCCTCTCCCTGTAGCACATGCCGTGGTCGAGTCTGTCTGTCTGTGGCCTTGCCCGTGGGCTGGCTGTGCACTTCCCTTCACTACAAAAAGCAATGGCCTCGCAGCCCCTGAGGACCCCACATCCTCCCCCCCGGGGCCCAGGACTTGGCGAGCAGTTGAGAAAATTCAGTTTCTCAGGACACTCATTTTCAAAGCTCCGAGTGTGCCCAGCTGCCTGCGCGCTCAGGAACTAAGTGACAGAAGAGACAGAAAGAAGTCCCCTCGAGGTGGCTGCCTCCCCTTCCCGTGGGTCAGCGGGGCTGCAGGCATCCACAGAACACTCGGGGGCTGCCCAGGACTTGGCAAGGTGGGGCCCAGGCGGACAGGGTGCGGGTGCCCAGGACAGGTGGGGAGCACCCCTGCACCGACGGGGTGCCCCGGAAGAGCAAGGCGGGACTCGGGAGGTCCACACACAGAGGCGTTTGCCGTCCAGGGGCTCGAGGGTGGCTCAGGGACTCGGCCCCAGACCAGGGGCCGCTCTCAGCAATGTGGACAGCAGCCGGGAGTGTCCCTAGGGAAGGGACACCATTGCTCCTCTCCAGGCCAGACCCCCTCCAGGAACACTAGGCCTCGAGTCGGCGTTTCCCGGCCTGCGTGGGGTCCAAGTGGGCCACAGGCAGGACTGTGCAAGCCAGACTGCCAGCTGACGCAGGCGGGGTCGGGGGCCTCCCCACAGGTGCGGGGGAGCCTTGGGTACTTCTCCCTTTCACACCCTCAGACAAGAGTGAAGCAAGAGGAACGCCCCACGAACGTTTCGGGAGCTCCTGACTGTGTCCATCTCCCACAGAGCCCCTGCCCGTCACAGAGGGAGCCGGGGGTCAGCCCTCCCGCCTGCTGCGGAAGGAAGAATCGGGGACGGGCACGGAACGCCTTGTGCCGCCTCTCCCAGGCTTTCTGCCCCTTTGCCACGGTGCCACCGGGGGGGCCCCTCCCACTGGGCTCCTAGCCCGCCAGCAGCCAAGGTGTCCACTCTGCTCTGGCTCAGGCTGAAGCCACAAGAAGGAGCGGGCAGCGCCGGGTCCCACCCGGCCGGGTCCCCGCCCGGCCACCTACCTCCAGCTGGCGTCCTCCCCTCGGCCTCCGGGCTCTCCCAGCACCGCCTCCTAAAGCATCTCTCGGCGGCAGAGCCACCCCCGGGCCAGGTCGGGGCAGAACAGACTTGTCCAGGGAGAGAGCGGGGAAGAAGGAAAAAGCCCTCCGGGGAGAAGGCCCGGAAAGGGAGAGACCCAGGCAGGCAGCAGCCAGTCCCGCCTCGGCACCTTGGTCTCTTCTGCTCCCAGTTTCTCTCTCTCTCTCTCTCTCTGGCCAGAAGCGGAAACAGGGCTTCTCAAAAGTAAAGGAAGAGCTGAAGAAAGCAGGACGGACGCGCAGGGAGCAAAGCCCAGCCAGATGTGCGCAGCCCGGAGCCTCCAATGCTCCCAGTGGGTCCTATCCAAACAGCAACCGCAGAGGATTAACTGTGTGTGTGCCCGGGGGGAGGGAGGGCCGCGCCGTCTTCCTTCTGGACCCCTGCCCCTGGGGAGCCGCTGGGAGGGGGTGGCCACTGCGGGTGTCTGGAAGTCTGCCCAGGTGTGGGGGTGGCTGGGAGCCCAGGACAAGGAGTGTTGGGGGCCCCAAGTCGCCTGCTAGCAGGGGGTCGGGACTCGAGGAGCTCGGGGGGCATCTGTAGCCAACTAGGATGGATGGAGTCCCTGGGCGGTGGCTGACGTGCGGCACACCTTGGATCAGGGCCTCGACCTGGGGTCCAGGGGCCACAGAAGTTTTGGGGACGTCTGTGAACTCCAGAAGCAGAGTGCAGAGTCGTGTGCGTGCCTTTGGGACAGCGATGGTCGCTGCTTCCGCCAGCTCCCAAGGTTGGAAACCCCTCGCTGGGGGCAGGTTTCCCGGAGCTCAGTGTGTGTGTTGTGGGGGGGGGGCAGGAAGCATTTCCCAGTCTCGTTCCTTGGGAGGAGAGTCGGACGTTCTGTCCATCTTGTACCCAAGTTCTTTCTCAGCAAGTCCCTCAGCCCCACCTCGAGGCCCTCTAGCTGCCCCCGGGGCTCCCGGGAACTGCGCCCCCCACCGGGCTGGCCTCCATCCCCAAACTGAGCCAGACCGGCCTGTTCTGGCATCTTAGCGAGTCACAAGAAGAGATAGGATCTGGCCCGAGAAGCAAAGCTCTGGTGTGATAACAGCTTCCTTTCTGTTCTGCTTCTTTCAAACCCCTTGCTCGACACCCTCCCCCACCGACGCTGACGTCACACCTGCCCTTTCCCTTCCCTCGTCACTCCACTCAGGGCCTTTCCCTCTGGCCACACCTGTACGGGGGGGGGGGGGGATTGGGCGGGAAGTGGAGCCTGGGATGCTGGTTTGGGATATTTGGGGCAAAACAAGAAGTCTGCAGCCTCCTCCCCCCGCCCTGGAACACCCTTCCCGCCTGCATTCCCTGCAGGAAATGTAAAGCGGGTGTTTGTGCCTGACACCCCCCCCCCCCCGCCAGGCACCCCTTCCTGCCAGGGCAGGCTGAGGAGGACCGGGGGATGGGAGAAGAGGGGGCGTTCTGGGCGGTGCCGCCTGTGAGAGCCCGGCGACCCCTCCATCGAGACCCAGCAGCTGCCTCCCGCTGGCTCGGGGCAGCCGAGGAGAAACGCTCCCGTCCGGAGTGGGTCCGGCCAAGTTCACGGCTCTCCGGCAAGACGAAGCAGCCACAAGCCCATCAGAGCCTCTCTTTCGGAGGCGTTAGAAAGCTTGAGACTTGCTCCCAGTCCCTGGCTCGTGTCGGAGGCTCAGCCAGACCGTCGTCCCTGTTTGACCCAGAGACAAGCCCATCTTCGTCTTATGCAGGACAGGAGGGACGTTCCCGTCGACACGACCCAGGCCCGGCGCAGGGGCCTGCCTTCCCCCGGGACCCTGTCCTCAAAGGGCCTTTGCAGCCGGCAGGCCAGGGGACAGACACCTCAGGAGAGGCAGGACCTTTGTCCCTCCGGACGCTCAAGGATCCTCTGTCCAGCAGCTTGCATTTCCTGTGCTGGGGTCAGAAAAGGCCACTCTCACAGCCCGAGTCACACCGCGGCGTCCAGTTTGTTTGTGCCAAGTTCAGGGGGAAACTGGGGTGTCAGAGCTTCTTATATTTGGGGGGTTTGGAGGCAGGGGTGTCTGACCTTTTGGCCTTTCTGGGCCACACTGGAAGAAGAGTTGTCTTGGGCCACACGTTAAATCGATCTCCACACGTAATCACAAAGAAACATCTCAACACGTTTTAAGTAAATTTTCGATTTTCTATTGGGCCGCGTGGGCCCGAGGGCAGTGGGTGGGAGGCCCCTGGGGAGGGCTCTGAAACCGGAAACGCTCACGCCGTTGAGGAGGGGTTGGCGGAGCCCAAGCGAAGCGCCGGTGCACTCGCTGTAGTCGTCCTCGCTGGGAGCGCCGTCTTCTTCCCTCCCTCTGCTGGGGTGCAGCCCCCACAGCTCCCAGGAGATTAGAGGTGGGGTTCCCGGCTCTCCTGAAGCAGGAACTGGGGAAGGGGATGAAGTGGGGCTCCGAGCTCCAGGGCTCCCTGGGCACCCAGGTGAGCCAGGGGGCTGGGGGCTTGGGAAGCTCGAGGGAAAGGGGCATGGGGTCTGAGGACACTTGGGTAACGCCATCACCGCCCCCATCTCAGGCCAACAGGCAAACAGGCAGAGAGTCGCCCGCCCAGGCTCCTGGAGAATGCAAGTCAGCCTTCAGTAAAGGAAATGGAATGTGTCACCCGAACGCAGAGCTGGCCAGGTCCCTAAATGCCCTTTGTCATCAACTTCATTTACTGCTTTGAAACGGTGAGCAGGAAAGATGGGAAATTTTGCTGGCCACGGGCGGTCTCTCGGGCGGCTCGGCTCCCTCCTGCGGCCGGCCACGGCGCCGCCGAGCGGTTCAGCAAATACCTTCCCCTTGGACAGGGTCCTGACCAGCAGTAGGACAGGAGTCATAGCAAAAGGAAGCAAAACAAATGGCAGCCGCAGGGACAGCCGAAGCCAGCGCGGGGCCTGGGGGAGGTTTCCTCGGCCTCGGGCGGGTCAGAGGCCAGGGCTGACCAGAATGATGAAGTCCCGCCCCCCCCAGCTCTTTCTCTTGGGCTCCCCACCAGCCGCAGGCCATGCCCACCCTGGAATTCCCTAGGAGCCCACTCCCCCCGCACCAGGCGCCTGGGCCAAACCCCAACGTTGGCCCGAGTATTCCCAGGAAAAGGGTGGCTCATGGGACGTAAAGCCCCGAGACCGGGGGCGGGGGGGCGGGTAGAACATTCCTGGAATCTCGGGGGGAGCACACCCAGTGTCCCTCGGGTTTGCCAGTTCCTTCTCTCTCCCTGGGCATGTCTGTTTTCTCATCGTTGCAGAAAACTATGTGACCTTGGTCCCAGTCTGTGAGACGCTCGGTTCCAGATAAGCACTGCTGACCTTAGCGGCCCTGGGAGTTTTCCCACTGTGACCGAACGGCCTGCCTCTCCCAGCTATTTCGGGCCGGGCTGCCCAGTGGCCTCCCAGGGGCAGAGGCTGGTACGGCAAACTTTTGAATTCCTTCCCGAAGGGCAGCCACAGGCAGGCTTGGATAGCGGTCCCGCTGCCAAGGGGCGGGGGTGGGACAGCCTCCGCGGAGGAGCTTCGGAGAAGGAGCCGAGATGGAGATTTGGCTGCCAGGCCCAGCCTCCCTGGCCGCTGGCCCCACTCGCTGCTCCTGGACAGCGGCGCCTGCGGGCTCGCACGTTTGGGGCAGGTGGGGATGGGGACTGGCTGCGGCAGAGACGCGACAGGCCGATGTCCTGCCTCCCGCGCCTGCAGAAGGCCCCCGTCGGAGGGGCGCAAACCTGTCCAAGGTTGTCCCCTCTGCACGCTCCACGCAAAGTCGAAAAGTCGGGCAGCCCTGGGTGAGAGACCACGTCTGCAGTCTCACCGTCGCCATTCACGTGCTCCCCGACCCCAGTCAGGCCGTGTGGTGCCCATGGCTCGGTTTCCCCACCTCTCAACGTTTCTGCCCCTCTCTGGGGGAGGCCTTTTTAGGACTTTCAGAGAAGACGGAGGTGGGCCAGGACCAGCGGTCAGGCAATTTTCCTTAATAAATACAGTAGGAGGGCCCTCTGGTGGACAGCGTGAGACTAAGCACTCGACTGAGCAATGAATAAGTGGGTGAGTATCCCCGTGAGTAAAGCATCGTTAGTCTTTTAGGCAGAGGGTCAAACAAGAGCAGGGGACTTCCAGGAGGAGGCTCTGGTGAGGTCTCCCAGGGCTCGAGGAAGACTCGGAGAATGAAGGTCACCGGGAAACCCGTGAGTCCACGACCGCTGAGTCGCTGTTGACAGTGAGGAGCACATTTCACAGCCCCATGTGCCCGGAAGCTGGCTCACTGAGAGATGCGACACCCTTTGACACAGTCCTATTTCCTCCAGGACTTCATCCCACAGACACAGTTGCAGCTGTGTCCACACCGCAAGTCCAGGGACGCGTCCTGAGGCCTTGCCCTAATGCAGGAGGATGGCAGATGCCCTGAAAGGGCATCGCCGGGCCTGGAAAAACGAGGGACAGTCCTTCCATGCAGTGGGACACCACACCGCTTCTCAGAGAATGCAGGAGCCGAGGTGGAACAAGCCACACTGGGAGGTGAAAAATTACGAACGTTATTGAAGGACGTGCTCTGAAAAAAAGACCCGAGTAAATGGAAAGGCGAACTGTGTTCTCGGGTGGAAGAGCCGTGAAAATCTCAGTCCTCGCCCGACCTCCCTGCAGACCGAAAACAATTCCGTTCAAAATTCCAAAAGGCGGGGTGGCTGGGATGTCACGGGGGTGGGTGCAGGGGCCCACCACCTGTGCAGGTTTGTTAGAAAGAGGACCATGGTATTGGAGCAGATGTGAACTATTACACCAACACAACAGAACCAAAAGCCCCCAGGTGGAGGCACGTGCCGGGAAATTTGAGCTATTATTCAACTGGGGTTGCACATATTTCGATGGGGGAAGGGACGGGCTATTCTGTAAACACAGCACGGAGACAGGTGTCGCATGTGCGGAAGAAGGGATGCACATGACCGAGAATGTCAGAAAGGCGCACCCTGCTTGGTGATCGGGTATCAAGAAGACGCCTGGGCCAACGGGCTGGTAAAACTGATACACCTGATATTAACACACCCCACCCTGTGGGGCAACAGGATCTCGCGTCCACTGCGCACGGTTTTGCTTCATTTTGGTAAAAGCTATTACAGGCATGTACACTGTTCAGGGTCACCACGTTCAGGATCGTGGGCACCTCCCGGGGTGAAAGGCAGGTGGGGGCCAGGAGGAACACCTGAGAGCTTTCAAGGTCAAAGGGTTAATGTTTTATTTTTTAAGCTGGAAAGCATAGAAAGATTTAGGTATCTTAGTAAATGAACATTTGAGTGATTGACAACAATGACAGTAATATACGGTGTATGGTGGGAACTCACTTCAGCATGATGGGAAACATAAGTGAAGGTTCCATCAGAAAAGGTTTGTCCTCTTCCCCGTCCTGCCCCACCGCCAACGCAGAACTGTGTGTCTAGCACATTTCCGTCTGGTTTTTTAAAAGGTAGTGTAATATATGTGTTTATGATTTGCTTGTGTGTCACCAATATCTGTAAGAATAACCACAAGAAACTGGTAACAGTGATTGCCTCTGGGGAGGGAATGCAGAAGCGGGAGGGAGGGTTGTTTCTCACTGTGCCATTTACATAATTAGAAATTTTTTTGTGCATCTGCTACCTTAGTAAAAAGCTCCTGAGAGACCCAGAGATGTTTGCACGCACGGCGGAAGGCTCCTGTGTGACACCCAACGCTACCAGGCTTTTCCCCAAGATTTCTAACAAGAGCACCGTTGCCACACTTGGGGGTGAGAGGCAGGAATGCCCTTCACCATATTCCGTTAAAATAGCTCTGGCGCTGGAGAAACGGGAGGAATTAGAGACCCTTATTTGGGGAGGGCTTTGTTGACTGCCAAGTCAGAGGAACTTCCGCCCCGACCGCTCCAGCGGGTAGACCTGTGCCCTGACCTTGGCTTTGCAACTGATCTATTCCAGTCCCCAAGAACGGGGCTTGGAAAACCCAAGGGGAAGGGGGTGTTTGAGAATGGAGGTGTCAGAAAAGGGCCCAGACAAGAGGTCTTATAATTTCAGCTAGAGGAATGATAACATCCCTCCTGAGTAGTCTTGACCCCCGTCCCGCTCCCCTTTCTGCTCTGCGGACGTTCCTGATTAATGAGGAGTTAGCGGCCTGCGGGTGGGCAACGCTGGAGTCCTTCCCGCCTGCCCCAGACCTGCTGGATGAACAACAAAAACTACAACTCCCAGCAGGCCCTCTAGCCTCCGGTGCGCAGCCGCAGAGCAGAGGCTGCCGGGAGCGTGTTGCCCGGAGGCGTGGCGAGCGTGCCGGGCGGAAGTCGGCACCCGCTCGGACACGGCCCTGCCCGCAGCGAGACCCGCGCTGTCTGGGGGCCCCGGAGCCAGCCCGCACCGGGTGAGTGACTGCGCCCGTCTGCTGCCGCCTTCCGACCTTGCCGCGTCCCTCGCCCAGCTCCCGCCCCCCACCATGTGACCGATAGGTCCCCAAGTCCGCAGATCGGCTCTCCCTGTGACTGCGGTGGGCCAGCTCGCCTCTGGCTCTGAAGACCTGTCCCCTTTTTCTTACTAGTGGCGGACACCACCCCCCTCTGACTTGAGGAGTCCCGTGCCCTCTGACCCTGATGGACTTGTGCGGGACACCTAACCCTGGGGACAGCCCTCTGCCGCCCCCTCTGATTTCAGTACCCCCTCCTCCGACCTGCGCGGGGTGGGGGGCACCTCCTGCCCCCTTAGCGTGCCCTCCCCTATCCGATGGACACTTTGCATATCTGCAGCAGCCCAGCCTTCCTCTCCTTTCCCTCAGCACAACCCACTTTTCTTCCTTTCGCACCCGAAGTACTCTCCCTCTCTGCCTGGTTGGGATCCTTTCATCCCTGGGGACCAGCACCTCCTTTCTTACCCTGCTCTTTGGAGCCTTTCTTCGTCCTCTGTGTCCCCAGGCTTGGTGGGCCCCTCGCACCTGCACTCACTTGCCTTTCTCCCAAGCACCCTAGGGCCCCCCAGGAGAGCAGTGTCCCTTTACACACCAGCGCCCTTCCTTGTTCCTGCCCCGTTGCAGTGTGTGCTTGGCGGTTTTCTATGTTCTCAGCAAAGCCTGCGTTTGGGAGCACGCCCGCTGGCGTGCAATGGGTCTTGCCGGCTCTTCAGGGTTAGGGCCAGCACCTGACTGGAGCGGAGCCACACAGCAGGGGGCGTGTGAAGGGAGCGGCGCTGCAGCCTCTCCTTCCAGTCCCTTTGGAGGTCTTCCCAGGCCGCGCTGCAGACCCTCTGCCAGCCCCTGGCCCCACCCACGGGCCTCTCAGTAGAAGGAAAAGTCCAGGCGGAGCCTGTGGACAAGGTGGGGCTTCTTCCAGAGCAGCCGGTGGCCTCCGGGGGTCCCGCCCTCCTGGCCTCAATGAGCCTTCTATTCAGGCCCTGCCTGCCTGCCGACGGGCACGTTAGCCGGCCAGCCTGCTCCCTTTGGACTTCCTAGAGATGTCCTGTCCCTGGCAGCCTAGTGCATCCCCTGGGGGAGCACGAGGTGAAGCGTGGCTGGTCCAGGCACTGTCAGAGTCCCCACGGGGCCTGCGGACAGGGCCTCCTCTCCTCACTCTGCCCTTGTCCACACCCACCGGACCCCACCGCAATGTTCTGTCCATCACAGGGTGGTGCAGGGAGTCACATTCCGGGTGTGCAGGTGCCACCGCCTGTCCCCACATGACCCCCACCAGAGGTGCGATCATTTGATGTCTCCCGTGCACTACAAGTCTCCTTTCTTCCCCCTAAAGCCGCACCCCAAGTGTGCGGTAGTTCACGCCCTGTTTCATAGCAGCTCAGTCAGCATGTTGGTTTAAGCTGCTGATCCTGGAGGGCGTTGACAGCCGGCCCCACTGTGTGCCTACTCCACCAGGGCTCCGAGCCCTGAGGAATGAGGATACCTGGGTTCGGTGGGGACTCTTACTCTGGCACTGTGTCTGTCCCCCACTCGCTGGAGGTGGCCTTTGGGGTGGGCACACAGGTTCCCATAAATGCACTTGGCCCCTCCCTCAGAGTCCCTGGCCAGCAGTGTGGTGATTGTCGTGGCAACCATAAGGGGTCGACTGTGAACGAGTGTTTTCTCTTTCAAAACCAAACTATCTCAGATCTGGGGCGAGGTGGGGGGGCACAGGGCCCCAAGACGGGCGGTGTGAAGACAAGGCGTTGCCCTGTTGTGAGGACTATTGTGGAAGGGTTCGGCGGGACCTGGAGAGCATTCCTGCAGCTCGGGCAGCGGCCTGGGCCTCCCGGGAGTCGTGGAGGCCAAGGGGTAGGGCTCTCTCCTCTCTGATCAGGGAGCGAACCTTGGTGGCCAGCCCGGCCTGGACCACAGCCGGACACCTGCCTTCTTAAGGAGCAGCAAGCGCTGTGCACAGCGGGGAAGGGAGCCTGCGAGGGGAGGGCTGCCTGACCCGGAGGCAGAGGAGGCAGGGAACGTGGGGTGGACGCTCCTTTCCTCCCATCTTCGATCTGTGCCCTCCCTTCCCGCCCTCCCGGATCCTGGAAGGGAGGGGCCCCATAAGCCTGTTTGTCCTGCCACCAGTGCGGACTGCTCCTGAAGGACGCCTGAGAAGGCCGCCCTCTTGCTGTACATGGTTGGGAGTGCCGTCCCCTTTCGTCTGAGCCTTGGGTAGAGTCTGGTGGCAGGCCCGAGGATGGCCCAGGAAGGTAGGAATGTCTGCGGCTGTCTTCACTGGTAACTGAAGGTGGGGGGGCTGCCCCGGCCCCCCACCCCAGGTCTGGGGACCTCCTGGGAGGTGACAGACAGCCTGCGCACCTGGCAGCTCCATGAGGAAGCGCTGGTTTGACAGGAGCCAGGAACACATGGGTGTCAGCCGCCATGCTGGAGACAGACCACCCTAAAGAGTGGGAGGGGGATTAGGACTCCAGCCTTGGGGGGGCATGTCCCTCCCGTCTCCTGTGGTCTCTCTTCCCAGGGAGGTGGCCCTGCAGTGTGGCTGCTGGAGCAGGAAGCGGCGGGGGCACTGGGCCCTGGGGTTTCTGGCAGGGAGAGAACTCACCTGTGCAGCTGAGCCTGGCTGCCTGCGAGGCCAGGACACTTTACGGGACTGGGCACCTTGGCCTCACTTTCCTGCGGACAGTCAGGACAGCAAAGCTCGTGCAGGACCTGAGGAGTAGGGGGGAGGGCGGGCCACTGCTGAGGCCGGCTCCGTCCATCCTGCCGGCGCCCCGCTCCGTTGGGGTGTGTGGCTGGCAGTTTTTGTTCTTGCGTGTTTGTTTTTTAAGTAAAAGCACAAGCTCTCGCCCTGCCCCAGGCCTCCTGCGGGCAGCGTGCCAGCTGTCGTGGGTGTGGAGCTGCCGTGGGGTGGTGGGTATCTGATTGGAAATGCCCTTTTCCGCAAAGCCGGAGTCAGTCCTGTGGGCACAGCCTGGGGGAGGTGTTCAGGAGGCCGAGTTAAGGGGTTTCCTGGAGGCCCGGGCAGCCTTACTGTCCCCAAGCCGCCCTTCTTTTCTTTAGCAAACAGAAGGGGACCGCCCAGTGTCCCGCCCCGGACCCCGCAGGGCCCTGCCCCCCAGGAGCTCAGAGTCCATGCGGAGCGTCTGCTGCGGTCACAGAGCCACGTCCCCGACAGAGGCGGCACCAGGACAGGGCTCGGGAGGTGTGTTTGTCTCCAGGGCTGCCGGACGAGGCGCCACAGACTGGGCGGCCGAGAAGGGGGCCTTCACTGTCGTCCCTCAGGAGGCCCGGAGCCCGGGACTGTCCTCCCCACCTGGCTGGACTGACGGTGTCAGCAGGGCTGTGCTCCCTCCAAAGGCTCTGGGGGACAGCCCGTCCCTGCCGCTTCCAGCTTCTGGGTGGTGGTGCATCCCCCGATCTCTGTCTCCGTGGTCACCTGCCTCTGCTCTGTCATCGAACACCCCTTAGCCTCTCGATGTGACTGCGGGCAGGGCCACAGGGCAGCCTCCCCATCTTGAGAGCCTTAACTTGTCGCCTCGGCAACGCCCCGCTGCCCTGTAAGGGTCCCGCACCTGACGCCTTCAGGGCCAGGGCCAGCGCCACAGGAGGCAGCTCGTGGTTGGGGAGGCACAGCCCTACATACAGGCTGGGCGGGGAAGCCCAATGCACCAGGGAGGGGTGGGGCGCCGCAGAGCATCGCCGCCCTGGTCCTGTCCTTGCCACTGGCGGGGTCCCCGTGGGGGGTCCCCCTGAGGGTCCCGGGTGCAGGCCCGTTGTCTGCCCCCTCGGAGGGGTGCTGCTCCAGGGTGGTGGGGTGGGGACGGGCGCCAGGCTGTGGTCACACGGCCCTGAGTCTCAGTCCGTCCACAGCAGTCCCTGGCCTGCTGGGACCAAGCAGGCAGAGAGGTGGCAGGGCCTCTGGGGACGGTGGGGACGGGGGTAGAGGGAGTGGCCGGGCAGCCAGGGTGAGCCGTCACAGTGGTGACAGCTGGGCCTCGGGCGTGCGTGTCTGTGGGGTGAAGGCGGGGCACGGGGACAGGCATTTGGGCGGAGGGGGAGCAGGTGT